TATTTGGGGTCACAAGTTTTTGCCATGGATATTTTGTGGGTCAGAAGATAAAAAGTTTGGGAACCACTGCCATAGAGGACCATGGCAACCAAAAGAAAATCTATTTTGTCTGACAGTGGAGCAATTTTCACTTGCCCTCAGTCCATTCTAATTACACTTTGACCCAGAGAAGACAAGAGTGCTTCTGAGTGGCTTTTATCTGTGCACGATAGAGCTTTAACCAGCATTTGTGGATGAAACATCCCCTTGTTGCTGCAAGAAATTATTTTTAATTAAAAAATAATCAATTCCCTGATTTAAGCATTTGGTATTTACTATGATCTACTGACTGTGGATGGTTTTATGAGATTTGCAAATCATATTCTGTATTTATTTACATTTTACACCATGTCCAAACCTTTTCAGAATTAGGGTAGATTCTTGTCCTGTATTGAGATTTTTTTCAATGCTCTGTTTATGGATAGCTCGACAGTGCCATTGAAAGACATGGAAAACGCTTCACTGCCAATTGGAATGAGCAGCTTAAGGTAAGAAACATGTTTTTAACTGAAAGTGAAAAACAAAATTTGGTTAGTAATATGCAAATTTAAAAATATAGTTTGGTCACTGTAATTAGTTTGTTCTACTGAGAACATGCTATGTGATATTTTTTGCTTCCTTTGCTTTGAAACAGCTAAAAAAGAAGTTGTCTGGGCTAACGAGAGAACATGAGGCCCTATTCAACTATGTTGAAAACAACAARCCCATCAGTACTGAAAAAGAGAAGCAAAAGGTACAAAACATCAGTGTCAAATTATTTTTATCACCTGATACAAGAGCTGTGTCCCAGTTTAGGAGCTGCATCCTTTGAAGGCTGCTTTTGAGTACATTTTATTATTATATTAATGTTCTCAGAGAGAGTCCTTGGAAAACCTGTCACCAAAAGATTGCTTTTTTTCCTGTTCTTGCCTCCAGATGTTAAACCGGTTGACCAAGTCAGCAGAGCAGCAGGCGCGGGTGGACGAGGAGTACTTCAATRTCAACATGGAAGGTCATCAGATGAGGCTCAAGTGGGAAAACACATTGAAAAACTGCTATCAGGTGGAGAAAAGTGCTTTASTTTTGCAATCATTCAGCTGGCTCTCTAATCAAAAGTGGATTTTCAGTGGCTGAACAAGACTTGTTGCCTCAGAGACACTGCATCAAGCAGTGAGAGAAATATGTCTCTTCTTATATACGTATGTATGAGCATCAGACTCACAGTCATCCCAGTTTGTGGGCTGATTTACAGTGAAGGGATTAAAGGGGGGTATCATGTATTATATATAGCCTWTATTAACACCTTGAAATTGGCCTCTGTCTCTAAGATTTTCCTACCGTTTCCAACACTCCCACTTCAGCATGTCATCACAACAATGCTTCAGGCGAGGGGTGCTCTGTGGGGTGTGAGCTCGGCTGCAGACTGAGCTCCAGGGAGGAGCTTTGTACAAATAGGTGGTGCTTTGTATTAGTAAGAGTTTATGCAGCTCCACATGGCTACCACCGGAGATTAAATTATTTCTCAAACATGTATGAATGAGTCCAAGCACCACTCTGATGAGGGAACTTTATAACATGAAGCTCAAAACAGTCAATTCTGCACAATACCCTCCCTTTAAAGTATTGCTTGTTCAGGAACATATCAGATGAGTTGAACATGTCAGCTCTCAATGCATTTTTAAACATATGATGGCGTTTATGTTTTAATAATGAAGATGGCAATGTTATGCTTCTTCAGATCATACAGGAGCTGGAGAAACAGCGACTTGAAGTTCTGTGCGATACTTTGAGAAGATACAACCTCCACATGTCCAGTTTTGGCCAAGCCCTTAAACATGTAAGAGATCCTTCCTTCCATTCTCCTCACGCAGAACACAGTGACGCTCTAAAAAACAACAAATTGTAATCTGTGGTTGTTTTTGCTTCTTCTAGGGCCAAAAACAGATCGAGCAATTAGTCCAAAGGGTGGATATGGAAAAAGACATACAAACCCTGGAGGATGAAAACAGGGCTGCAGCTGATGACAACACAATAGAGTTTTTGATGACTGATTATTTTGTGAGTCTCTTTKCTTTCTCTTGTTCTGAAAATGTGTTCTATTTTAAAAGGAAGTCTTTAGTGGCTCATCCCTTCAAATATAAATATTCACATTACTGCCGGATACTCAACCCAAATATAAAAAAATGCTGATTTTATATCCAGTACTTCTACTGACCCATTGCTAATAACTTGAAAAAACTTTCCCGTTTTTGTTTTTCATACCTTTGTTTTTTACAACCTTTTGTACATACGCATATGGTACACATACCAACTTCTTCAGAAATAGAGTTGTTGATTGTAATATTGTAGTAATTTTAATGCCGCTTTCAAAATTTAAYACACTCACAATCACTGGTTTGTTTTACATTAAGCCATACAGACACTGTTGTGCTTTTTTAAATCATTTTTATGTATYTTTTAGGAAGAAGACAACAGATCACTGATGAGCAAAGACAGAAGAAGAGACGCAATGAAGCTCAAAATCAAGCGTCTTGAAGAAAGCATCGCCAAAACCAAAAAAGACCGTGAAGGAAAGTTTCTTTAAAAAATAATCACGTCCTCAAGAAACAATGTCCATTTTTTTCATTCTAAYGTTTGAGTGTTATTGCAGGAATAGAAAAACTAATGAAAACCTACTCTGAAAACCCATCGTTCTCAAACCAGAAGAACCTGGAGGACACCGAGGAACTACACGATGAAGTAAATAATGTACAGCGTGAGCATAAAGTGGCTGGATGAGAGATGGAAGSTTTATATGAATTAGATTTTCTCATGTATTCTCCAATGTTATTGTGTTACCTATAGTGCAGTCTAAAGCTGGACCTTCTTCAGGCCACTCAGTATAAACTCTCCTCATCGCTCTCTGAATGTGAAGGGAAGATCAAGCCATTTCAACAATTTAGTGGAAGCATATTTAAATGGAAAGATAAGGTAAGATTTATGGAAAGAAACCTTCCTACTGGAGTGCTTATGCATTGTGTACGAGATTAAATTGATAGATATAATAATTTTATTTTTTAGTAATGACAAAAATATTAGGCTCACTCAGTTTCTGGTTGATCTTTAATAACAAGCATCTATCTATCTATCTATCTATCTATCTATCTATCTATCTAT